AACTTTATGGATAGCTTAAGAGTCGTTGCAGTGAGCAAATTCCAATAGTTTTGAATATGGTCAAAAGGTTAACGAGAAAAATTAAAAATTGTATGATAGATAATGGAGTGTTAATGATAATAATAATAATAAAATGCAGGGCGTATATCGACGGAAGCGATACAAGTCAGTAAATGCACTGAAAAGAAGTTGAGAGGTGTCGCTTTGCCATCTTACTCCACTTAGTTTGCGTATATTGCGAAAAGTAATACCTTCACAAAGTAATAACAAAGGGTCTGGTTTGCCACCTTGCCCGAGATGGCTTGGTGTCTGATTTTGGTGCCCTTTAATATACTCTTAAATTGTGGGCAGGATGGCCTGAGGAGTGCGGGATTCACACGCGTCACGATGCCTATTTAATATTATTGTTTAGATATATAAGGTTATTCAGGTAAACAAAGTACTATATTGGCGATCTGTATTATTACCGACGTATACGTTACAATGTATATCAAATAAATAACATAAGAATAAATATAAATTATGAGTTTCTTATTATTCAATTTTAAAAAACTGACCCTTTGTATTTATTAAATGGTCAAAGGATGCAAGAATCATCAACCGCTATTATTCACCTGTTCCTTTAATCCTTTGACTATTTAACAAATGTTAATCATCTTGTAGTCTCACCCTTCTTCTTGTACTAACCCCTAAACCACAAAACATTCAGACACGTTGTAGAAACATTTTTGAAATATATCAATCTGTTTATTAAATTTCAGTAATGTTTCTAAAACGTATCTGAATGTTTTGTGCTGTATAGGTGCTTGTACACGGGTTCTGTTTATAGGATAGCCCTTATGTTTCCCATATTTATTATCATCAGTTACTATGATCTTCGCTCCAGAGGCACCTACATCGTGTACAGTATAACCCTGCAGCAGCACTTGTAATCTAAATTTGAATAATTTATTTATTCTATATCGGACTAATTGAAGAACTGGAATAATGGATATCAATGATTGATTGAATAACATTAACGTGTAGTATGTGTGTGTGCTGATAGGCAGCACAGTGGCGCCTCTGAAAAGGAAGGGGGTTCAGAGTTCGCCAGCGCGTTTAAGAAGACACACGTGTAAAGTGCCAGCAAGAAATAAAAGCTTTATATCAGTAATAACGGAGTTGTTAATTATAAACCGTTCTTTCTTGATTTAGAAAAAAGTTCATTCTTATCACAAACGAATAGCTGTTGGCTATTAAGTGCCATGTCATGTAATATTCCCCGCTAACGTGAATTAATTTTATTATTTTTCTTATTGTTTCTTTATTTAATATATTGAACAATTGGACAGTATTTCTGTTGTTGTATTTCATTCTTTCCGACTAACTGTACTCTTCACAGAAGACTATATTTTCTTCTAAAATTTGGATATATGTTTATGTATTTCTAAAAAAATTCTGCTAATAGATTAATTGCATTTATATTTTGTTCAACATTTTTTCTAGCACAGTATATATTTCTGGTGACATATGTCACACCGTATTCACGTTCGTTTCTATAACTGTATATATTTACATTCTACGTTTATTTATTCAACGTCGATACAAATTTCGTTTCAGAATGTCTTCAATATATTCTATTAAAAAGAACAAACTTGTGAATCACCTTGAAAACACCTCTGTGTAAAAAGCTTTGCCAAATACAGAATCGCTGTGAATTCACGTCCTTAAAAAAGATAATATTTCTATCTTTCGTTATGATTCGATATACAAAAAGTTTTAGAATTATGCCAACATAAGTCACTTAATACTTAATTTTTATATCATCTGGCACTAGCTCATTATTTGAATTGTCATTGCGGAATTTCCTGTAATGTCTTCCCGATTCTTTTATGTTATTACCGCCGCTTATATTTAAGTACGGTTTAATTGTCCTATAATAATTTATGAAACAGTGAGTGATTCCTTATCGAGTACTATCTGGTATCTCACTTGTGGTTAGAACGCAATTTTCATGGAATATCCTGGTATTTAGGAGATGTACCGTACAATTAAGAAAATTCTTCGAGTCATTCTACAAGATGCCTCTAATGTCTATGTAAAAGGACTGGAGAAGAAGATCTAGTTAGAGACCTTCATAGAGTGATCGGAACACATCGTAGATCTAGGTGTTCTTCGCTGCAAAACTTGCGTAAGAACTCACTTACCCGGTGTACACATCATCATTTTTGATGTTCAATAGAAAACATTAAATTTGTAAGGAATTGGATATTGAATAATACGCATATATGGTGATATTAAGAGCATATGAATATACTTTTACAACTATTGAAACTCAGTCTGACTGTAGTGCCCACCGAGGTACCGCATAACAAGCCGATCCTCATCAGCAGCACGTACCATGCTTTGGAATAAATCGCTGTCGTCTTTTAGAATCTTTGATATCCTTGCTGGTAGAAACGCCGAAAAAGTGTTCTCGATATCGAACAGCAGTCTCATCCCATATTTCGTTTGAATTTTTTGTATGCTGCGAATTTTACATTCCTTTTGAGCCTCCACCTCCGATAATTTTTTTGTTCAAAGAAATTCATTTAAATGATCCACTTTGTTGATGTTCGAAAAATCAATTTTTCACAATGTCGACTGTCTTACTTCCTCGATGCTCTCTAGTAGTAATTTTATGCGAACTCTAAGCTCACACTGTTTCTTAATATTTCGCATAAGTCGAGCGCCATCACTTGATTAATGAAAAATGTATACTGCAACTCATCTTTTTATACAGGGAACTCTTCTTTCTTTTAGGATTAGCAAATGGTGAGGGTTTCGTTATTTGAATAATCTGCTATAGATCTTTCTAGAACGTAGGTGGACTTTTGACATCGCCAATGTGCTTTCAACAACGATCTCTGCGCGAGTAACTTGACACTGACAAGTAACAAAGATAACATGAAATCGTTGTCTCGACGCATGACTCTGCGAGATAACGTTCAAGGTCCGAAAGCTGTTTCAACCTGCATGAACCTGCATGGGGAGACGGGTCGTCGAACGTTCCAGAAGCATGGGGTTGAGGTGGGGAGATTCTCGAACCTTCTCTGTGAAATGAGGAAATTGCCGTCTCGACACGCAGCTACTGCGAAATAACGTTCGAGGTTAAATTGGCTTCCAGGCTGAATGCTGCCGTCTGAAACCTGCGCGGGGCGGGGAAAACAGGGAATCGTCGAAGCTTCTTGCAGGTTCTTCGAGGATGAGGGATAAAGGGCTGCCTCAAAACGTCGTGCGAGAAGACTGTCCGTTCTGGCAGCAGATATCACGATTTAGAATTTTCGCTAATCCTTCAAAATTCAACATTGTGGACTAGAAACTGAAATAGCTAGTGCAATGATACATGAAACTAAGATGAACAGGACCAGTTACTGATATTCTAAGTAATCTGTGTCAGTCTAAAGGTATAAATTCATAGGGATATAAAGAAGAGGGCTAATGTTCCTGTTTTCGACAAGGCTAACAAGCCTCGCAATTGGCAGTTTACCAAGTGGTGGGAGAAGATACTGTAGTGAACATATCCTTGTTAGGAACTGACATAATGTCAGTAGCTGGACTCTTTACCTTAGTCTGTATAAACGCTGTCTAATTAAATGGCTTGCGAAGAATGAGCATTGCCGGCCATGGTCCATGCACGTTATGGCTAATTGTGACATCATGAATTGCTACTAGCACTCATTGCAGCAGGTGATTTAAGTTTCAAGCAAGACAAATTTGTTGGTTTGGGAGGTTGACTCGTCCGCATAAAAAAGTCTTGCTGAAAAATCATAATTGTTTGCAGTGATATGTTGCGTGGCTGATACATAATGTATATAGTTTTTAGCC